CAGCTATGTGGTATGTCAGTTGTAGATGTCGACTTCAGTGACCCGACAAATGGAAAGTTGCTGGTCGGCAAAAAAGGCCGCACTAGAAGAGTTAAATTTGAAACTTCTTAATCGCACAGGAGTAGGGAACATCCCCTCCAGAGTTAGTGGTTTTCCCATCGAAATTTTCACGTGTCCGTACTTGAGTACCAGACGGTTTTAAGAAGCTGAATTTGAAATCTTTTGGTAATACATGAGTAGGGAACATTACCTAAAAGTTTCAGTTTCCTAGCTTTTCCCGTTCCCCAGTTAGTGATTTTCGCGCCAAAACTTTCACATATGGCGTACATGGGTCTCGAGCTCCTCTAAACAATTAATTTTGGTTGTACATGAGTAAGGAACATTCCCGCAGAATTTCAGCTTTTTAGCTTTTTTCGTTCCCAGGTTAGTGATTTTCGCGCCAGAATTTTCACTTGTACGTACGTGGGCCTCGGGCGCTTCTAAATACCTGATTTTGGTCGTACATGAGTGGGGAACATTATCCTAAAGTTTTAGCTCGCTACCTTCTCCCGTCCCCGGGTTAGTAATTTTCGCGCCAAAACCTTCATATGTAGCGCACCTGAATCTCCGGCGCCCTAGGCAGCTCATTTTGGTTGTCCAAGAGTAGGGAACATTGCCGTAAAATTTCAGCCTTCTAGCTTTTCTCGTTCCGAGGTTAGTAATTTTCGCGCCAAAATTTCCAAGTGTACGTACGTGAGCCCTGGGCGCTCCTAAACATCTGATTTTGCTCGTACATGAGTAGGGAACATTCCCCCAAAGTTTCAGCTTTCTAGCTTTCCTCATTCCCGGGTTAGTGATTTTTGCGTCAAAATTTCCATGGCCCCGGGCGCTTCTAAACACCTGATTTTGCACGTACGTGAGTAGGGGACGTCCCCCTAAAGTTTCAGCTTTCTAGCTTTTCCTGTCTCGGGGCTAGTAATTTTCGCGCCGAAAATTTTCACGTGCCCGTACGTAGGCCCCGGGCAGTCCTGGGCAGCTGAATTTGAAATCTTTTTGTCTTACACGGGTAGGGAACATTCTCCTAAAGTTTCAGCTCTCTAGCTTTTCTCTTCCCCGAGTTATCAGTTTTCGCGCCAAAAATTTCACGTGTTCGTACGCGGAGCCCAGACATGCGTAAGAGTTGATACCGCGGTCCTGGGGTGACACTTGGCTGGGGAACGCCCTGGCAAAATTTCAGTTTCAAAGCTTGCGTGTTTGGCGAGTTGAAATACCCGAACATACACACACACGCACGCACACACACACATACACACACACATACACACACACACGCGCACACACACACACACACATACACACATACACACACATACACACACGTACACACACATGCACATACACATACACACACACACGCACACACACACACATACACACACATACACACACACACGCACACACACACGCACACACACATATACACACACACATACACACATACACACACATACACACACACGCACACACACACATACGCTGACAGGGTTGTTGCGATATGCGTTTTTGCTCCGTTTTTGCTGTCTGCAACGCTTTAGCGCTGCACGGCAAAAACGCATAAAAATCGTCGCGACCATCCGTGCGGGTGGTTTCAACGGTTATATTTGTTAGGGGTTTTTTTTACTTTTTTTTAATGGAAGGTGTGGGGTTCGGGGATTTGGCGATGTTGCTGGTCAGGGAGATCTTTGGGGTATTCTTTGGGGTATCCAGTACTTACGGCAAGCATGGCCTTTGCGAAGACCGTG